AGTCCGCCTACAACTTCCAGAAGCAAGACACCAACAACCTGAACACTCCCTATGACTACTCCTCCATTATGCACTATGGAAGATACGCCTTTGCTGTGGCCTCCGGGAGGGAGACCATCACCCCTATCCCCAATCCCAACGTCCAGATCGGCCAGAGGCAGGGCATGTCCTCCTGGGACATCAGAAGGATCAACCTGCTCTACAGATGCTAAAAACTCTCCTTCTCCTAGAAGTGAGAACTTCAACTTCATGTTAACTAAATATTGGAACCAGAAATAATGAATTTTAAAAATAATTGATGAAAAATTTGAAATCCTAATAAACTAAGAGCAGCAATGTATGCTTGTGTTTTATTCCATTTCCTACCACAGCAGAAAAACGGCTGACCAGAATCTCTGATTGTCAATAACTTACTAAACCTCCTATGTTCACAAGTTTTGGAAAAGATGCACAGTTCTAAACTTATTGATATTAAAGTGCGGAAACTACATATGAGGAGGAAATGACATTGCTAATTTTTACCAGGCTGAGCAAACCTTTGATGCAGAAGAGACAGTTTAATGTCTAAAGGCTGTAGGATAGAGTAGAAATAGCTTTCGATCGCTTAATTAGCCTAAAAATGGTTATGCTTCTCTCTACATCTCAAAACAGTTCAAAAAGCAAAAGAAGAGCATCTACTACCTTGATTTTAGTTCTCTCAAATTAACTTACTGTTTTTGCTGAACAACTTAATACGAAGGAAACCATTTCTGTTGGTGTCACCTCATCCAAAATGGGTGAAAGAATTTGATTAAATGGGATTGAGAAACTTAGGAACATAAGTTATTGAATATAAGAGAAGACCTTAAAGTTAGTATGGAGGATTTTTGCGAATTTTTTAAAAGACCCAAACTCTCCACTTAAAAAAAATGCACATGCACAACTCTGGACCCGCTGGCGACAGCATGGAGGAGCCAATTTCTCCTCGGTATGCTCCGTTTAAAAGTTGCTGTTCTCATAGCTCATACAAGCTTACGGTGCCCGAACGTCAGCCCTAACCCTTAAATCCCTCAATTAGTACATAGAGCGGGGAATATACACTCACTGGCCACTTTATTAGGTACACCTGTCCAACTGCTCGTTAACACTTAATTTCTAAGCAGCCAATCACATGGCGGCAACTTGATGCCAGAGGTCAGAGGAGAATGGC